ACGTTTGTTCTTCTTATCAAAAAAACAGGTAGTTGTGTTCCAGTTCAAGCCAAAGAGTCGTGGGGATATGTAGATGTCCGTGAAGGAGCTCATATGTTCTGGTGGCTGTACTACGCCAATAGCTCCAGCGCCAGTTATAAAGATCTGCCTCTGGTTATGTGGCTGCAGGTTTGTCACTCATCTGATCAGTGAGACCTGTCATCTATTTTCTCCATATCCTTCTCCAGATCATAATCTCATTGGAAGCTTCGTTCAATTAGAATTTACATAGCTGTTATACCTTTTTCTGTTTGTCCACCCTGATTTCCCCCTCTTTTCTGAAGTACATCTAAGGTTGTTCATGCTCCGGTTTATTTTAGGGAGGTCCTGGGGGATCTAGCTGTGGATTTGGCAATTTTGAGGAAATTGGACCTCTTGATAGAGACCTTAAGCCAAGAGAAACGTCTTGGGTATGTAAAGTAAAATTTTCTTGACTTTCATATCCGCAGTATTGATTGAGTAGTTTATTTTGGGAAATATGGAATATTTTATTGTCTGTTTTGATTCATTGTTTCTGTATAAATAACTTTTTAATATACGCTTTATTTACATTTTTCTTGGAATTTGTGAATTTATTATTTGAGTAATTTATTATTCACCCAAAAATATCTGTGTCTATGCAGGTGCGTGCTGCCAGTGTGCTATTTGTGGATAACCCAGTGGGCACCGGATACAGTTACACAGACACTGAAGATGCCCTCACCAAGGACGTTGCGATGGTGGCATCAGACATGATGGTCCTCCTCAAGAGCTTTTTCTCTCTAAAGACAGAGTTTCAAGTAAGCAAAACAAAAATACCTACCAGATTGAACTTAATATGCCTTTCACATTTGTATCTCAACTTTTCTCCCCAACAGAGTATTCCCTTCTATATATTTTCTGAGTCTTATGGAGGCAAAATGGCAGCAGCTATTTCCCTTGAACTCACAAAGGTACTGATATAATTGTTCTCACTTTAGGCTTCATGAGAGGCAATTTTGTAGCAACACACACACAAGACTAAAAAAGTCATGCGCTTGCTGATTTCATCTATAAGTGGAAGAGTCACAATAGTTCCTACTTCCACAAAAGTAAATCTGGCATCAGTTTAGAATACTAGTTTTTACCAGTTTCTATTTGCTGTTCATTTACTGACCACACCTCAAACTCATTTTAATCTGCACTGAATGTTTATTTCCTCTCTCTTTAGGCAGTTCAAGCTGGTTCAGTCAAATGCAACTTTGCTGGGGTGGCTTTGGGAGACTCCTGGATCTCTCCTATAGGTCTGTAAATTATATTTACAGCTATATTTTTCTTTCTTATTGATTTTTAAGTTATCATATCTCAGTTTACTAATCATTATGCACATTCATCATGTTTAGTCCTGACTCGCATGACTGCATAAACCAGGTGTAATGCATTACAATACAGCACTCAACACATCTGATTGCTTATTCTTTTTTTATGCAGACTCAGTCATGACTTGGGGTCCTTATCTATACAGCACAGTGAGTAATTCACCATAACACCTCCATCTCCTTTTAGAGTGATTAAGTATGATTGCATTAGCATAATCAAAACAACAATACACCAACAATCAAAAGTTTTTGAAAGAAGTCTCTTATGATTACCAAGTCTCCATTTATTTAATGTAAAAACAGTGTTTTCTGTTCTAATATATTTTAAGATATAATTTATTCCTTTGATGGCAAAGCTGTATTTTCAGCAGTCATTACTCCAGTCTTCAGTGTCACATGATCCTTCAGAAATTATTCTAATATACTGATTTGCTGCTCAAGAAACATTTCTTATTATTGATGTTGAAAACTGGTGTGCTGTTAAATACTTTTGTGGAAACCATGATACATTTTGTTTCAGGATTTTTTGATGAATAAAATATTTGAAATAGAAATCTTTTGTAACATTTAAAATGTCTTTACTCTTAATCAGTTTAAAGGGGTCATAGGATGCTACATGCACTTTTACAAGTTGTTTGAAATTAAATGTGTGTTGGCAGTGTGTGTACACAACCACCCTATAATGATAAAAATCCACCCAGTGTTTTTTTTAATCTGGTTAAATCTTTACCCCTTTCTCAAATCGAGCCGATCTCAGATGCCTGTCTGTGTGACATCACAAAAGAGTATAATGTTTTGTAATGAATCTTTGCAAATCGCCTTTCCTAATAATGTGCTAATTAGCTAGTTTCACGATGAAACAGTCCCTCTGAGAGCAGCTTGGAAGAGAGGGCCGGGGTCAGCAGATCTCATTAACATTTAAAGGAAAATGCTACAAAAATGGCTTGATCTGAAAAGAGCTGTTTTTGACAGGGTAAAACAGGTGTTTTTTACACTACCATTGAGAAATTTTAACCAAACTATGTTACAGACATTTCATTAAGACCCTACGACCCCTTTAATGCATCCTTGCTGAATAAAAGTATTAATTTCAAATTTACAAACTTTTGAACGATAGTGTATAATGAGATTTATGTGCTAGTGTTCTGACACATCAGACACCTGTTGATCAGAGGGTTTAATGCAGCTGTGTCTGTGCTGTAGTCTCTGTTGGATGACAATGGACTGGATGAGGTGACTAAAGCAGCAAACGCGGTGCTGGAGGCAGTGAAACAGGGCCAGTACCGAAAAGCCACTGACATGTGGTCCATCACAGAGAATGTAGTGGAACAGGTGAGTCAAGCACCAGTAGCTTAAGAAAAAATTCAAGTAGAGGCCTTAATGCATTGTTTATTTAAAGAAATTAGATCGAACAGATTGTGTGCTTCATTCAGTTACTCAACTTATTCTGTTACAGAACACAAATAATGTGAACTTCTATAACATCCTCACTCAAAACTCTGATGAGATGGTGAAGACCAGTTCAGATCAAACCAATGGATTTCTCTGTGAGAAACTCAACATGCACAGCTTAGTTTGTTACATAAATTAAAAAGTTTTGGTCATCATTTTGTCTTGTTTTTTACAGCCTCACTGAAGCGTCACCACATCCGTCCTTTGCACCGTCAGTCCCTTTCAGAGTTGATGAACGGGCCAATCAGACAGAAGCTTGGTGTCATACCAAAGAATGTCACATGGGGAGGTAATTATTCTTTTTATGATCTACAGAGGTATTTACTAACATAATGATTCTTACAAGTGTTCTTCTGTTTCTTCAGGACAAGCTGAGGCAGTGTTTGTCAGCATGGCAGGAGATTTCATGAAGCCTGTGGTGGACATTGTAGATCAGCTTTTGGCTGCAGGGGCCAATGTCACAGTCTACAATGGCCAGCTGGATCTTATTGTGGACACAATGGGTGAGGATGACAACCATTAGGAAACATTGCAGAATAGCAACTCTTGACCAACACATTTTAGACTAGCACTTGGGCCATTTACACTTGGTAGTGGTGTCACCATTTATCATCTGTAGTGCCAAAACTAATGTCCCAGACAACGAGTCAAGTCTGTGAACTTGCTATACCCTGATTTATGTAGTCATGAAACCAGAGACCATCCTGTCCATTAAATCTGATCGCAAGTGGTCATACACAATGCCTTTTAATGCCAGGTGTGATTAGTAATGTGCCGCAGCTGACCACTTGTGATCAGATCACCCAGGTCGGATGTTAATAGGTGGTGTCTGTAAGTCAATAAGCTTTTTATAATCCATTTTACTATTAAGGAAGACCATTATGGTTGGGTGTTGTCAAGATAGTGTTTCTGCACTGCAGTGCAATGATTGATTTGTGTTTATTTGTGAGCAGGTCAGGAGTTGTGGGTGAAACGGCTGAAATGGGACGGACTCCAATACTTCAACAAAATGAAATGGACGGCACTGGAAGACCCACAAACCCAGAGCCAGACTGGAGCTTTCTATAAGACCTACAAGAACTTTGCCTTCTACTGGATCCTCAAAGCTGGACATATGGTACACAATATTCTTTTTTGCACTAATTTTAATGTTTGTAAAAACATTGTTCAATATTGTTATATTCAGAGGGTTTTAGCATGGCTTTAACTGCAGAAGCTATGGTGGTTTAGCTTCATTTTTCTGAAGGGAAAATACATTTCTCAGTATTTATTTTTAGTCTTCATGAGTGTATGTGACCATCTCTATCCATTACATTATCACAGATCCCATCTGACCAGGGGCCAATGGCTTTGCGAATGTTGAAGATGGTGACTCAGCAGGAGTGATGGATATTATTCACATACAAACTGGATTGGCTTGCTAACCACTTTTAGACAATCAACACTTAAAAATGTTACCAAAATCTGACTTTTATTTTTATTTTTTATCTTTTGGTTGCGATCTTAATGTAATCAATGTTTTTTTTTCAATGCCTGTCTTGTAAAATTTGTACATTTGAATGCCTGCAAAAAATAAAGTCATAATTTTTTTATACAGTTTGAATTGTTGCCTAAAATCTACATGTGCTAAGAGAGAACTAACTTTAATGTTGTTTAACATTCCCATTTATTTATAACACAAATAATGTATCTGCAAGTCAAGAAGAAAGAAAACTAGGATCATCTTCTTTCTTGTTTTCACAGAAATGCATAAACAAGCAAATTTCATGAAGAGATTTTGGTTAAAATATTAAAATTTTGAAGAAGGTACATTATTATTTTCATGAGGTCTGCATTTATGAATAATGTTATATTATGAACTTGTAAAGCTGTAGAATATATGTGCAATCACTAAAAGAAACGGACCACTCTGTTCCTTGCACAATAGTATTTTAAATGGCTTTTACCTTAAATTATATAAGGATAATAAGGGATATATGGGATATAGTGCAAATTCGATTTTACACATTTGCTGCTTCTTCAATTAAGTATTCAGTCATGCACAAAATACTGAATACAGATTTAGCACCAACTCATCACATTTTACTGCATATCGAATGGAAGAGAGATTTGTTTATACTATGAAAACAGCATGTAAGCTATAGAGTATTAAGGCATTTGATCAATAAGGTTTCACACTGATGGGTTCTCTGAGGAACTGGCGCTGTAACTGAGTGTGCATCGGCCACACTGGGTCTCAGGCACTTTGAATCCCTCTCTGCTCACAGGCTCCACCACCAGCTCTATGAGACCCAGAGCAGCAGGCACCTCCAGCTCCACCACACGATACAGGGTGGAGTAAGACCTGCCAATCAGAGTCAAGGGTCCAGGGGGAATCCGACTTAATTGTGCTTCTCATTGTGCTGCTTCCCTTATTTTTGCACTTTGATTACCTTTGCTGTCATATAATGCTCACTTACGGTAAAGTGAATTTTTAATACAAAAAAATACTAGTTTAATAGCACTGTTAAAAGTAATCTTTAATAAATCATTGTTTCATTCTTTCATACAGAAGGTATCTGTAATGTACATGTGTATCTCACCATAATCTCTCCAATCCTACAATTAAAGGAAATGTCCTCATCGCCTCCATCTCGGGAAACACGAATACACACTTCTCGCAGTGAGCAGCCAATCATTTTCAACAAGAAACATCTATGCATGAAACCACATTGAGTTTGATTAGACAAGGTATTTCAGATAATTGGTATGACACAAAAATATTTAGACTTTAAAGCAGGGGTCAGCAACCTATGGCACGCAGGCCATTGCATAAACATTGTGATCAATAGTGAAATACTCAAACATGCATTCCGACATAAATTTCGAGGTCATCGTTCCTGATTGTCACACAGCCTGTTTTAATAGGTTTAGAGCTATATATACTATTTAAACTGTGAGATAGTCAGGAGGGGCACACAGCTCCGACAAACCATTTGCGCGACAACTCCTCATACAAGCTCAACGTAGATCTATGCAGCAGCACTGTTTGGCATAAGTTAAGTCTGTTTCTCTTCAGTCATGCTGTGCGACTACGTAGATGTATTTATTGCTCTTGGCTTTCAGGAAAAAGTTACCACTATCAATACTGGAGATTTTCAGCTTAGTATACAGAGTCCTTCACATTCCACAAACAAATCACACATATGTAGTGTGGGTGGGGTTCAGAAGGGCCACCGGAAATCTGAAATTCAGGGTCTATTTAAACTTGGGGGGGAAGTAGGTGCTTCAGAAATAATTAAGATTCTGCACTATTTGTTTGACAGCATACTAATCAAATAAATTGGGGTAAGTGCTAAAGTTAACATGGGCTACCAGGTTTCAACCTTGAAATCTGTTAATTTTTCAGTTAAACTAATAGGAACCTTTAAAAATGCTTATACATCATAAACATATAATTGGGGGATATATGCTGGTACAGTGATTAACTAGGAAAATGAAATTAGACTCTCACCTGGTAGTCCAGCCATCCAAAGACCACCGGCCACACTTCTGTGCAAACTGCTCAACCAACTGGTTATCCTCTGCTAATGCTTCTGGAAAGACACTGCCAACTAAACACACAGGCACAGCAGATTAAGCAAATTAGATTTTTAATCATTTTAAATCATGACAGATTCAGACTGAGACTCTAAGATATCTAATGAAAAAAGGCCTGAAAGACCACTCACGTGCTATTTCCTCCATCCCATCGAATGTGCACAGAGGACCATCTATCGTTTTGAGCTCCAAGGATATCTTCACCCCCACAGGTGGCTTGTAGACAAAAGAAACAAACGTCCTGGTGGCCAAGGGAACATGGAGAGAAAAAATCCTACAAATGGACAGAAAGAAGGTGTTTGATTGAAGTTTTTTTGTACTCCAGTGAAAACAAAACCTCTAGTACCTTGCACAGACTTCAGAAAGTCCAGATGGAATCATGCCCTCCACCATCAGAGAGCTGCCTCCTATCCAAGCGTCCTCTGAGCAGCCACGGGTTCTCAGCCAGCCACCATTGTCCATGTTCTCAGAGAGGTACAGAGGCTGGATCTCCTGAGCATGCAGATTAAACCAGCTTCTCTTCATCTCCACCTACATCATACAAGAAATTACTAGGGATGCATCAATATTTAAAAATGGACGATATATACATTTAATACGAGTTTGTCTAAATAAATTAAAAGTAAAACACTAAAAACTAAAATTGATCGTCTTAAATGCTATAAGTGAATTTAGGTGTAATAACATTATGAAATACACTATGAAAAATGGATATTCATTTTGACATTTTCTAAAACTAACATTTTTAAAGTTATAAACTTTAGCTTATTGATGAATGAAGGAAACGGTGATCTAAATGTAAAAATAGGCAAAAACAATTAAATATCCCATGTAGAATGATACAGATACATTACAAATATCTATAGCTGTAATTGTAACTATAACTGTAGTACTCATGTTTTTATGAATATTCAACAAATCAAAATAAGCCATAACTAAGACTGCTTGCTTCTGAGGGTCAAGGCCTGAAAATAATCTTAAGAAGAAACCATGAAAACTTTTTATTTTATTGGGCTTTTGTGACTTCTTGAGATGAATATTTGTGTACTCCAGATGTCTTAGGATGAGTCACACAGGTATTAAAGGGAATCTTAGCGAGACTGTGATTGTGTGCAGCATACCTGTCCCCTCCAGTACAGGCTCTTTCCAAAGCCCTGACAGAATGAGGAGATGAATGGAAGACTGGACGAGGGCCGGTGGATATAAAGGGAATCAGACAGCAAACTCCAAAACCTGAAAACAGCGGTTAGAATATACATGGGTGACTATGACGTTTGCGTGTGTATGTGTGTGTGTGTGTGTGTGTGTGTGCTTACAAACATTTCCCACTGCAAAACAGTGAGCATACTATGATCAGCTCAAGTGGAGTGTTCTAAAGAGCTTACTTGTCCTGGTTTTGGCGGAAATCTGCCTTTTCGTGGTATTCGTACACCCAGCCAGGAGCAAAGATGGCTGTTGAAAATTCATACTTCCTAATCATATTCAGAGCCTAATAAGGATACAAAAAGAGACTTGAACTCAGTCAAAAACCAATAAGATATTATGGATGTGAAATACTGCTCAGTTTTTTTTTTTATTAATATTTTTATTCAGCAAAGATGCATTAAATTAATCAAAAACGACAGTAAAGACACATTTATAATATAACAAAAGATTTCCATTTCAAATAAATAATGTTGAACTTGCTTTTGAACTTTCTATTCATCAAAGAAACCTGAAAAAGTGTATCACAGTTTCCATAAAAATATGATAAAATAATATAACTGTTTTCAACATTGATAATAAGAAGACATATTTCTTGAGCAGCAAATCAACATATTAGATTTCTGAAGGATCATGTAACACTGAAGGCTAGAGTAATGATGCTGAAAATTCAGCTTTGCATCAAAGGAATAAATTTAATTTTAAAATATAGTACAATAGAAACCAGTTTTTAAAACTGGAATAATATTTTACAATATTACTATATTACTGTATTTTTTGATCAAATAAATCCAGCCTTGATGAGTATAAGAGACCTCTTTCAAAAACAATTTAAACACATTACTAATCCCAGACTTTTGAATGGTAGTGTTCTCATATTAAAATTGCTCTCTAATATATCCTCTAACTAAACCTTCACTAACCTTATTGGTCTCAAATTTCCCTCCAACCACCTTCCCTCTTGCAAACACATCAATACCAACATAGATGTCAGCAAAGCGGCCCTGAGCAGCAGAGTAGGACTTCATCCACTCCAGGCTCTGCTCTGTCCAGTTGTAGTTAGTGAATATTCCATCACAGGCATCAAAAAAGATTCTGATAGGATGACAAAAGGAAGCTGATGGCACAAGTTGCATAAAATCTATTGTATAAATCTCACAGACCTGAAGCTGCCCTTCCGTAATCCCTCAAGACCATCACTTGCCTGTTGTCATCATTGAGTTTGTTCTGCCAATCGAGCGTGCCGTTTTTCAGCACGCTGTCATACCAGATCACCACACTGCCTGGAACGTGCTCATGCATCTGGTCTGTGAGGTAGCGCAGAAAGGGTCCAGTGTTCTTCACTGCAGTCTCCTGAGGAGTGAGTGAAATTTGGGGTAAAGTACTACACAGTATGACCACATACACCTCTATCTAATCAGATACGGCCTGGTTACTCACACTCAGCACATTTTCTATGTTAATGAGCCAGCCGTCAAAGCCGTAGCAGTGGGAAATCTGAACCAACTTATCAGCAGCTGTGCAGTAACTCTCCTCATCTGCAAGGAAGGCCTCACATGTCTTCGCTCCATCTGTCCACTCTGTGATGAATGTGCCTTAGTGTGGAACAGGATTATGAAAGTGAAAAAAAGTGAAAGTGACATGACATGTGGCCAAGTATGGTGACCCATACTTGGAACTAGTGCTCTGCATTTAACCCATCCAAAGTGCACACACACAGCAGTGAACACACGCACACACCGTGAACACACACCCAGAGCAGTGGGCAGCCATTTATGCTGCGGCGCCCAGGGAGCAGTTGGGGGTTCGGTGCCTTGCTCAAGGGCACCTCAGTCATGGTATTGAAGGTATTGAAGGTGGGAGAGAGTGCTGTACATTCACTCCCCCCACCTACAATCCCTGCCGGTACGAGACTCGAACCCACAACCTTTGGGTTATGAGTCCGACTCTCTAACCATTAGGCCCCACGACTTTTCCATGCCATTACACTGAGATCACTGTCTGTCAACCTCCAACTATAAATGTATAACTATAAACTATAAATACCTCACAAAATATATCATATAATATGTTTATTTTCATAAAGGTCATATGGCTTCAAACACTTTTAAAGGGTTAGTTCACCCAAAAATTATGTAAAAAAAAAATTATGTCATTAATTACTCTGACCCTCCCATAGACAGTAAGGTAACTACCACGTTCAAGGTCCAGAAAAATACCAAGATGATCGACAAAGTAGTCCGTGTGACATCAGTGGTTGGTAGCCCTCAGATTTCATCAAAAATATCTTACATTGTGTTCCGAAGATGAACGAAGGTCTTACGGGTTTGGAACAACACAAGGGTGAGTAATTAATGACAGAATTTTCATTTTTGGGTGAACTAACCCTTTAATATAGCACACAATTCATATGGACTATGTTTATGATGCTGTTTGGTCCTTATAAGAGCTTGGCCGCCAGAGCATGTGAGCGGAGTGGTAATATTTCCTTAAGAGCGCAGAGCGCCTTTCTCCACTTCGCTCACATGCTCTGTTGGCCGCCACCTGCTGTCTATTGTATGGAAAAGAGCAGCTTGGACACTGCTAAATTTCTCCTTTTGTGTTTTAGATAAGAAAGGATAAAATGGTTTGAAACATTATCAGGCTGAGGAAATGTTGACAAAATTTTAATTTCTGGGTGAATTGAAGAATTTCCTTGTGAAAAAAGAACATATTTTTTTTAAACTACTTGCACATAATGTTAATGACATAATAGGCCACTTAAAAGTAAACATTCAAGAATGTTTCTCAACATACTTAAGTACACTTTTAAGAAAAATGCACTTTGTAACAATGTAAGTTTTACTTTAAAGTAGATTTTAAACTTCTTTAAATCATTCTTTAAAGAAGTACACCTATTTTGATGTGTTGGCCAACATACTAAAGTACATGATTATCATTTTAACTGTAGTGTGTTATTCAATATTTCATTTCAAATTAGTATATTTTAAATATACTACATATTAATTTCATTGTTACAAATGTGTAACTACAATGTATTTGAAAACAATACATGGATGTTTCAATGGAAATTACATTAAAGTTAGTTTACCATTTAGTTTACCATAAATGCGTGTCAGTACACTCAGCAGTACACTTTGCTTTGAAACCGTAAGACAATAGAATTAAGAAATTGCATGTGAAAGATACTCAAGTCCTACTTAAGTATTTAGTATAAATCTAAACTATAATAGATTTTCATTTAATTGCATTTGCAATGACGGAAAACATTAAATTCAGTTAGGTATATTATTTTTAATATATTATTTCTTTACTCTTTTTAAAAGTATGCTAAAGCTAGGGTGACCATATTTTAGTTTTCCAAAAAGATGACAGTGGAGGGGTTGGGGGCAAATTAGTATATTTTAAATATACTACATATTAATTTCATTGTTACAAATGTGTAACTACAATGTATTTGAAAACAATACATGGATGTTTCAATGGAAATTACATTAAAGTTAGTTTACCATTTAGTTTACCATAAATGCGTGTCAGTACACTCAGCAGTACACTTTGCTTTGAAACCGTAAGACAATAGAATTAAGAAATTGCATGTGAAAGATACTCAAGTCCTACTTAAGTATTTAGTATAAATCTAAACTATAATAGATTTTCATTTAATTGCATTTGCAATGACGGAAAACATTAAATTCAGTTAGGTATATTATTTTTAATATATTATTTCTTTACTCTTTTTAAAAGTATGCTAAAGCTAGGGTGACCATATTTTAGTTTTCCAAAAAAGATGACAGTGGAGGGGTTGGGGGGTGGTTGGTTGGTGGTTAAAGTAGTGCCCAAAGTATATATCCCTTATATCAAAACTCAAAATATGCCATTTCCATACCTAAATAACATATATTACAGTCACTGTTATGCATTTTGATCATAAACAGCTAAAAAGCTTCCTACCAGTGGCCCTCCTTAGCTACTTAACAGCACAGTGTTATCATAGGTAGAATGCAAAATGTTTCAATACAAGCATTTCAGTCAAATGTAATTTATGCAACATTTCAAACCTTTAACTCACGGGGGGAAATCAACCCATGGCAACAGTTTAAAAGTAGCCCAATTCCATGGAGAAAAAAAAAAAGCAGACCTGACAACCCTGCATCCATCACGAGCTGCAGGAGTCAGATTTGACTGATCACGGGTTGAGAGGAGAGATGGCTGATAGACCATACTGGAGGATATGCTGCTCAACAGATCCTGAGCTCACTGGCAAATATCTGATCATCCTTTACACAGAGTGCGCGTGATCGTGAAATCGAAAGTGAAAGTGAACAGCGAGCGCTCATTCAAAAGAGATTTAAATACTCCTCATATTGATAGCGGCTCCCTGATGTGCGAAAATTATATGCAATAGCCTATTAAGAATGTTTGTGAGAGTGGGCGGGAGTCGGGAGACTGGACACAAAAATCGCGGAAGCGGGTGATAATGGTCAGAAATTCAACGGGAGAGGGATTAGAAAAACAGTCCCTCGCAGGGCTCTAATACAAAAACGCACACGTTGGTTGGCGACTGTAGAAAGCAAAAGCCGAATCCCGGACAATTTGGGCGATTTAGAAATCCCGGCCGGTGTTCTGATGATTTGTGCTACCCGCTCAGATTGTGCTAACTCCCATTAAAAAGATTGGTAGCACAAATCGATAGCGAAAAATGCTACCTATCAGATTGTGCTACCAGCATCTTATTCATGTGGTTTGAGGCTTTTTTGTAATGTCCATATACCTACCCCTACCCTAAACTTACCCTTAAAACAATGCAAATATATTTTTGGTAGCACAATCTGATAGGCAGCATGTTTCGTCGGTACACCGGATGCATTTTTTTAGGTCCATAAAGAGGACATGTCCGGGAAAAAGAGGACGTATGGTCACCCTAGCTAAAGCATACTTTGTTTTTACAAGGATGTTCTTTTTACAGCAAGACTAATATGCTTAAAACTGAGATTTTAGCCCATATAATCCCACCAACAGACTCACCAATAGAGAGCACGCCATGCTTATGTGCTGCATTTGTCCAAACCGCAGGAGGAATGGTTACCATCTGATGACTGAAGTAGTTGAAGATGTCAACATACTCCCAGTGATAGAAGGCATAAGGCGTCTCCACCTCTGCACCTTGAATGAACCTCAGCAGAAAGGACAGGACCATGAAGATACTGAAGGCTGGCCAAACAACTAATGAAACTGACATAACATGGTTGAAACTTTGAGCTATACCTGTCCTCCAGGTAGCCACCCATCATGTCATGGGACACCAATGTCCGTCTAGGGCAGCTGTGCAGTGGAGGATACCTGCTAGCCAAAGGCACAGTGGCCACATTAAAAAGACTTGCTTCCTTTCGTTTCCATGACAACAATTCATCAAGAGACTTCAGACTGCAGCTGATGGGCTCAGTCGTGTCAGGATCATAGTGGACTGCTGTTACACCACAACATGTTTTTTAAGCGAGACAATAATCTTTTAAAAAAAGATTAAAATGCAGCATATATGATCAGTAACGTTACCTGGCAACGTAGATGGCTTGTTCGTTATGACTTCATAAACACTTTGATCGTTTGGCTGACCGAGGCAAGACTCAGAGCTGAACAAACAACCATCACACTGAACATATAAGTTGTAAGGGCAATAAAACGCTGATTGATATGATTATGAAAATGTATCAGTCACAGCAAAGTTACCTGATCTCCTCCGTTTTAGGAATCGTACTGCTTATAGTTTCATCCCTTTTTCGTTTTCGGGATGTCATATTATCTTTCTCTTTTGTAGAAACACTTTCCATTTACAAAAGGTCAACGGATAGCCAGTTTCCAGATAAAACAGTAATTTCTAGAAGTAGGAAGAGCGAATTAGAAACAGAAAGAACAGACAACTTCCGCCCGTGCGCTGATTGGCTGAATGAGTGGCAGAATGGCAGTGCGTCATCCTGCGTGAAGGTGTTGCTCTAAAGGCTCACTAGAGGGCAGTACAGTAGACCTTTAAAATGACTGGCGACTGAAGCAAGATAATGCTTTGCCCAGATGGAATACGATTAAAAAACCCTACCTGTTTTAAAATGTATATCAAAACATATTTCGTGTTTATCTAAAACACTCATGAAAAGTTATACAGTCGGTTACTGCGAAACATCAAGCCATCATATATGCACTGAAAATGAGTATAATGAGATTCATGGAAAATATTACAAATAAATAACCAATTACCAACATATCAATCAACCATGATTTTGAATACTGGGGTGAGCCCCAGTAAACAGTCAGAATGTATGGCTTCACTATGTTTTTCTGCAGGATTATTTGTGGTAGTGTTATGTGAGGCCTCCAGTTTCCAACTAGAAAAAGTATTCAAATTACCAAATCTGAATTTGAGAGGAGCTAAAATATATTAATTCATAAATAATTCACACTCTTTCTCCTTTTTTGTCTCCATTAAGAAAGTCTCTAAAACACCTCTCATATCCATTCTCTTTGTGTATAATGATTGTCCATAACATGATCCTCTTCTGGTTTTTCTTCTTCTTCTTCTTCTTTCATGTAGGCCTGCAGTCTGAATCGGTGCTTTTAATAGGCAGAAAGGATACTATGGATGCCATGGAAATCTGGAAGTTTCATTTTCATTAACAGTTACTGAGATGCAGACTTTAATGCAGTAAAAATTAATGTTCACACACAGCTTCATGAGCACAGATAACATTTTTGTATATTGTTTTTCAATTATTCTGGTATAAATAAATCAATAAAACCAATATCAACACCAATCTAATGTTTAAGCAACACATCGAATGCACATGCACTCACATTAAATATACATCCATATATTTACTTGAGGCAACTTACATATACATTCTGCAAGTATTCAAAAAGAGAAACTACCAACATGTAGAATAGTTCACTTACAGGAACTCGACTTGAACGTGTCAAGTCATCCCCATCATTTCCTGTCATTCTTTTCCTTTTTCCCTTTGCATTGTTATGCTTCCATAATAAGTCACTGAGTTTGTTTACACTGTGATTCAAGAAAAAGCCATTATATATTTAAGACATATTTATCCAGAAAATATTTCAATTTAAATTCTGATGGAATATGCAAAATATGCACTGAACATCTTTCAATGGTTTGCTCAAGCCTGAAAACTCAAGTCACGACAGCCAATGTGGATGTGTTGGGCTTAATGTATTCATGACCCACATTAGATCTGTGTGTTTGTGATTAAATGATTGCTACACCACAGCACGGATCAATCCTCTGATGCCCCGCAGGTTATTTCAGAGGCCAGTCCGGTTCCCGCCAGAAAGCTCAAAACAAAGTAACAAACTGCAATGTTCTGCAGTGAAAAGGTACAGTGGAGCAGACTATATAGAGACCATAAATGCTCTTTTCTGACATTAAAATTAAAGAAGAATAAAAAATACCTATTGAGGCCTGATTTTTTAAACAAACAACGATGCCTTTACATGTTACTATTCATACATGAATCTACCTCTGCATATGACTTCTTCAATTATTTGAGATGGATATGCATAAGCTCCTCCAGAAACTCATGCACTTTTTCACAGATATTTGGCATATTTGAAATAACATTCCAGTTTGAAATTTCAAGTTTCCACTCACTGGGCTATTTTCTGTTCTGCAACGTTAAAGGGGTACAATTTTCCTTTCTCTTTGGAGTGTTACAAGCTCTTGGTGCATAAAGAAGATCTGTAAAGTTACAAAGACTAAAGTCTCAAATCCAAAGAGATATTCTTTATAAAAGTTAAGAGTCAACCACGCCTACCTAAAACGGCTCGTTCTAACACGCCCCCACATGTCTAAGTCACGATGTGGGAAGATTTGCATAACGCCACCCAAATGTCCACGCAAAGAAAGAAGGCGTAACTTTTATTCTCGCTGTAGTATTGTTGCTGCTGCCACCATGTCGTGAAGGCGCTGTGTGTTTCGTTGTGAAAGCGAAACTACTTAGTTTGGTCTTCCAAAAGAGGACGATATCCGCTTCGTCATGCCTAGAGCTGATCCGTGCTGGTCAACTTCTCGCTGTGGATCGCCGGATCAGCTTTCACAGTGGATGAAGCGGAGTCCAGCCCGGGGTCGTCACATGTGGTTGCTGCAAGCC